ACTAACTCAAAATGGGTCAAAGATCTAAATGTAAAAGTTAAAACTATAAAACTTTTAGAAGAAAACATAGGGGAAAATCTTTACGACACTGGATTTGGCAGTGATCTCTTGCATATGACACCAAAAGTATAGGGAACAAAAGAAAAACAGATAAATTGGACTTAATAAAAATTAAACATTTTTATTCATCAAAGGGAACTATCAACAAAGTAAAAAGGCAACCCACAGAAAGGCAGAAAATATTTGCAAGTCATATATTTCATGAGAGATTAATATCCAGAATATATAAAGAACTTCTCTAACATATAAGAAGCCAACAACCTGATTCAAAAATGGGCAAAAACTTGAATAGATATGTCTCCAAAGACGTACAAATGGCTGATAAGCACATGAAAAGATGCACAACATTGCTCATCATGAGGGAATGAAATGAAATCAAAACGACATCCATTAGAATGGTTGTTATAAAAACAGAAAACAGCAGGGCAAGGATGACATGGAGAAACCGGACCCTTGTGCACAGTTGGCGGGAAATAAAATAGCACAACCGCTGTGGAAGCGGGGGGTAGCAGTTCCTCAAAACCTTAAGGACTTTAGTTATTTATTTGAGAGAGAGAGTGCGCGGGAGGAGGAGGAGCGGCAGAGGGAGAGGGACAAGCAGACTCCCTGCTGAGCGCAGAGTCCAACGCGAGGGGGCTCCATCCCAGGACCCTGAGATCACGACCTGAGCCCGAATCAAGAGTCAGGTGCTCAACCGACTGAGCCACCCAGGCGCCCCATTTCCTCAAAAAATTAAGGATAGGATTACCTTATGATCAAGCAATTCCATTTTTGTGTGTATACCCAAAATGGACTCAAATATTTGTACACCCACGTTCATAGCAGCATTATTCACAATGGCCTGAAAGTGGGAGCAACCCATCCTCTATCGATGGAGAAATCCATGAACAAAATGTGGCATAGGTGCAAAGGAATATTCCTCAGCCTTGAAAAAGAAGGACATTCTGACGCATGCTATCACATGGATGAACCCAGAAGGCATCCTAATGAAAAAAGCCAGTCACCAAAGAACAAATACTGTACGATTTCATTTATATGAGGTACCTGGAGTGGTCAAGTTCATAGGGACAGAAGGTCGAACAGTGGTGACCAAGGCCCCGTAGAGCAGGGGGAGTGAGAACGCAGAGCTTGTGCTTGGTGGATTTCGGTGTTGCCCAGTGAGATGAAAAGAATCCCGGAGACGATTGCACAACAATGTGAATGTACTTAATGCCACTGAACTCTACACTTTTATTTATTTATTTTTTTTCTACACTTTTAAAAATGGTTGAAAAGGGGCGCCTGGGTGGCTCAGTCACTTGAGGGCCTGGCTCTTGGTTTCAGCTCAGGTCGTGATCTCATGGGTCATGGGATCGAGCCCTGCATGGGGCTCCCCACTCAGCGCAGAGTCTGCTTGAGAGTTTCCCCTCTGCCCCTCCCCCCACTCATGTACGCTTGCTCTCTCTCTCTCTCTCTCAAATAAATAATCTTTAAAAAATGATCACAAAGGTAAATTCCATGCTATGTGTGTTTTACCGCAATGAAAATCTGATCAGGGTACACCCCTCCTCACCCCTATCCCTCGGGTAAACCCTCCAGTGGCTTCTTGTCCTGGGGATAATGCCTCAACGTCTCACCACGGCCTCCGAGGCCAGGTGGGCTGGCTCCCCGAATCTCCCTCGCTGGAGGAATTTTCTCTGCTCTCCCACTGCAGGCACAGGACTCTAGCACGTGCCTCAGAGACTTCACGCACACCCTTCTTTCAGCCCAGAACCCCCTCCCCAGCCCCCCGCATTCTTCAGGTCTCGGGGTGCTCCCTCCACCACCTCTCTCACCAATGACCAGCTCTGGGATGGCAGGGGCAGCACAGTCACAGCCTCCTGCCCTGGATGGCCCGTGTGGCCTGCCTCCAACAAGCCTGAGGCCACAGCCAGAAGGTTCCTAGGGGGCAACCGTGGCCCTACCTTCCTCTTCCAGGACTCAGAGTCCTCTCCCCACCAGAAGTTACCTACGCCTGAGGCTCTGTCTGGGGCCCTTTAGGCCTGCACAGGGGTGTGTGTGGGAGCAGGGGGTGTGCGTGTGAATGTGTGACTGTGTGAGAGTGTGTGCATGTGAGTGTGTGAGCCCTTGTGTGTGTGTGTGTACTTCCCTGAACCACCTCGGCCCAAGATTTGGCCACGGGATCCCACAGAACGGACGTGTTTCTTTCCTTGCCAAGCAGGCCTGGCCAGAAGTGGCCTCATTTGACTTCTTGGGAGAGGGCACTGGGCCCATCCTTCATTCCATGGCCTTCTCTCCTGGCTTTGGAAAGATTTCCGAGCACAACATTCCGGGCAGCTCTTCTCAGACCGTGACACTGAATTATGGCTTCGAGCACAGAGGCATTTTCCGCCGCTTGAGAAATCCCCTTCCTCTCTCCTATCCTGACGTCCATGCGGCCGGGACATCCGAGGCTGTCGCTGATCCCCTCCCGGCCACCAGCGGCACGTAAACAAGTTATGGCCTAGGCAGTGCACACAGAGACCAGGCCTGCCGGGGCTTCTCAGAAGCGGCGGGGGTCTCATGCCCTTTCTGGCCGCCCTGGTGCCCGAGTCCGACTGCCCAGGCACGCTGCTGGGCGTGGGGCAGAAGGAGTGGAACGCTTAAGAGTGTGGGGTCTGGAGTCCCATGGGCCCGGCTTCCGTGCCAGCGTCTGCCTGTTTCTTCTGTGGCCTGGCAAACTACCTCTTGAAGCTTCCACAGCAGTAAAATGAAATCTATTCACACCTACCTATTAAAGAGGACTGTAAGGAAAAGAAAAGACGGTGCATTTCGGAGCACAGCCCAAGGCAGTGGCCCCTCCTCTGGCCCCAGAACCCAACTGGCCTGTGGGCGGGCCAGTAAGGCCAGGTCCAGAAAGCCTCGGCCTCTGCTGGGAGAGGCCCAGCCCAGCCCCACAGGAGCCGGGGCCCCCGTGCTCAGGGTCTTCGCGGTGCTCTCTACCCCAAAGGCCTGGCAGCCGAGTGGCAGCAGAGACGGAAGGGAACCAGCAGAACGCCTGGCCCTTCTCCCTCTCCTTGCTTTGCCTCGCTGGTGCTCGGCGGGCGGGGGTGGGCCCGGGCCTGCACAACCTCCTGGCTTGGGCTGCCCTCTGGCCTTCTGTTGGAGGGGGACACAGGACAGGCACACACCTCCCTCCAGGAGCCCCCCCCCCAAACATCCAGGCCCTGGACATCCATTCCCAGATAGGAGCCCCTAATGCTCAGCCCGGGGTCTCCCAAGAAAAACACAGGCAGGGGTGAGGGGTAATCAGGACCCCAAAGACGAGAGCTCGATCCTTTTTGGCTGGGAAGGGAAGGCAGGGCCAGGCAGGCTGTGTGTGGTGCTCAGTCTACAAGGAGGACGGTCCGGCTGAAAGAGCGGAGCCCCCTTGTTGGGGAGGCTGGGATGGAGGCAGGGCAGGGATCGCAGGCACAGAGGGAGGGGTTTTGGCATTTTTAAGGAACTTGTGTTGGTTTTTATTTTAAATGAAGGGATCTCTAAAAGTGAAACTAACCACTTCTTAGGGTTCCCACGTTTTCTTGGAAAGCCAGGGCTGTGCATTTCGGGTGCTTAAATGAAGCAGAGCTGCAGCATATCCAGCAAGAACTAGCTGGCACGGGCTGCCGAAGGCTGTGTCACCTCTCAGGACACCCTCCTGTGAGCCCTTCACCTCCAGGTGAGCTCCTGCACCTGCTCTCATCTCCCTCCTCCCACTTCTGAGAGGTCCCTGCATCCCTTCCTCTGCCCCTCCTTCCTCAGATTCTTCCTCATCTGTCGCGCCCGAAGCGAGGGCGGTAGTGCCACGAACGGATTCCCAGTTCCCTGCCCCATGCGCGCGGAAGCATCCCGAGATCGCGGCCTCACCCAGTTATCTGTGGAGCGACCGATGAGTGCCGTGGAGCAGTGGATGAGGGACTGTAGGTATGACAGGTAGTGTCTGTCTTCCCTAGACTGGGCGGGAGGGGCCCCCTCTGTGCCTCCACTGGCTCTAATCCCAGCAGTGGCTCTGAGTTCCAAGGGTCTCTGCGTCCTGTAGGTGGAATGAGCGCCACCTGCTGGAGGCGGCAGGTAAGGGGGCGCTGTCTCCAGGTAAGGGGGCGGCCTCTGGCCGAGGCACCGAAGAGGGCTCTCAGCTGCACTGATCCTGAGCAATCCCAGATAGCAGGATAGGAATCAGGCTACCTAATGCCGTGCTAGGCATCTTATGAGGATCATCTCGTTTCTTCCGCCAGACAGACCTAGGAGAGAGATGCTCTGGGCAGCCCCCTGGTACAGTTGAGGGAACAGGGCCTCAGAGTTCAAGGCCATACTGCCTGCGCCTGGGAGCAGTGATGCCCCGGCTGCACTACCCTGTCAGTGCCGAGGACATTTCAAAATGGAGAAGACAAGGAGCCGGGGAAAGGATTTGCGTGCAGGTTGGCACAGGGGCTATGGGCCTGGAAAACCCAGACTGGCTCCCATGCTGAATGGGGGTCCCTGGGAGGCAGGAGGCTTGCGTGCCAGTCCCGGCTCAGCTATCTGCTATGCTGCCAGGGGGCTCTCCCTCTCCTGAGGAAACCCTCAGTCTCCTCATCTGTATAATGGGACCGTGCAGGAACCTCTTCACAGGGTAGTGCCGAGCATTCTAAAGTCCAAAAAAAGGCAGGGGGGTCACAAGGCTGGAAGGGAGATGGGCACTTCTGGCCAATAAGAGGAGTCCAGGGAGCACAGAGGACTCCAGCCCCCAGGGCCCATGGAGGCTGAAAGGAAAGTGAGTTCAACAAAGACAGAGCATGTCCCACAGATGGTCCCCTCGGGGCTCCTTGCCATGCTGCTCCTGGCTGCAGTCTCGGTAGGAAGGACCAGCACAGCCCCAAGAAACAGAGAGCATCCCCCCCCACCCCAGCGCCCCCTGCGAATACCCAGGCCAGGCCATCACGCAGTTCCCATCCACACGGGCATACATTTCTTTGGTTTTATTATTACAAACACACGATGGCTCTGCCACACCTGGGAAATCCTGGGCTCGGCATGCTCTACCTACCCTCCCTTTTCTACCCGGACAGGGCCACCAAGAAGCGTCCAAGCCACACGCAGGCACAGAGCAGTTCAACCCATAGCTTATAATGATGCCATTTCTCCAGTTGTAAAAGAGCTTTACAAGAACTGTGTCAGAATCCCCGCCCCCATCATGCTAGACTGCCTGATTCGTGTTTGGTGAGTGCCACAAAACTTCAGCCCCCCTTTCCAGAGCACTTGGCATGGGTGGGAAATTCCACGTTCGGAACAGGTCCTTTTTAGGAGCGACTATCAGGCAGTGATATCCAGGTCTCCGCATGCAGTGGGTTAACAGCCATGTTTGGGGGGAAAACCAAATAAAAGGACATCTCCTTCCCTCCTCCCTCCACCCACCCAGGGCTCAGATCTCATTCCGGTGCAGCCCAGGCACACTGAAGTGTGACATTTGGTTTCAAAAACATTCAGTCTCTTTGGTAAACTCAGAGAAAGTGGTGGTGAGCTGCCGAAGTGCGTTCCTCCCGCATCCTCCGCGCTAATGCTTCATCCTCTCTAATAACCGCTGATACACGGGGGCTGGAAGAGAGAGGTTTCAAGGTGAAGAGGAATCGGGCCACCCTGTATCTGTCTAGGACACCATCAGAGTCACGAGGGCAGGGCCCGCGGCCCCCTCCCACCACTCCCCTGCCCCCTACAGGTGCTTTTTGGTTTGGGAGACTTCCTGTCTTAATGATACAACGAAGATCATGATGTCTCACTCCATGATGTAACAGGAACTGGGATTTCCTCCATCCACCAGCTTCGAACCAAGCCACTGTATGCTTCTGCCAAGTCACCGTGCAATATTCCCAGGTTCCCAAAGCCCCAAACTCACAGCAACCTTAAAAGGTTGGTACTTTTACTATCTCCAGCTTATAGAGAAGGGAATTGGGTATTCTGTGTCTGACCCCAAAGGCCATGCTTGTTTTATTGCACCATGATGTTGTGATCTATATACAGCAGAGGGCAGGTTTGGGCCTGCTTGGGGGAAAGGCCCAAGCACACATACAAAGGGCTTTAAACCCAGGCCAGACTCACCTAGTTTCACAGAGGTCTGGGCGGCCTGAAAGAAAACACCAAGAGTCAGGTTTCTAGTGAAAGTTGCACCTGCCCCTGCTCATGGCAGTGGCTTTGCCCACGGCCACCCCAGAAAAAAATGCTGGGGGTGAGGAAGAAGAAGGGGGACATGTAATTGCTGGGTCCTAGGGAGCCCCTCAGTTGGTCATGGCAGCCCCAAGCGAAGTGTAAGCCCCAACCAAGTGGAGTCTGGGGTAGATAATTCTGGGAGACTCCAGAGTCAGGCTTCCACTGAGTCCACAGCCTAGAGCTTGGGGAGCTGGGACGGCACAGCAGGTGGCCCTCAAGTGTAGGAGCTCAAGGCCAAGAACCCTCCTCAAGGGGCACAAAGGAAACCCCTCTATCCAAAAGTAAAGGACATATTCCAGCTCCAAGACTCTGGGTAAGAACTACCTCCAGCAGCCTCTTCTCTTCAAACGCAAACTTTCTATAAGGTGCCCAGGTTCCCAAGAGGCTCCACCTCATGCGAAGCTGCAAAGGAGCCTGAGTGGGGCTTCTAGGCCCCGGGGCAAGCCAGGGAGCAGGAAGAGAAGTGCAGGAAGAATCAGAGAGGTTCTAAGGGGAAAGCAGAGCAGAGGCGAGGAAGGGAGAGATGCCCCCCCGCCCCCACACCTGCCCTGTATCCAGGACCCACACCACTGCCTTGAAGAGCCCCAGCATTCCCCAAGACGGGCCATGTCATGAAAAACAGAGGGTGACTTAGAGGCCCAGGCTCAGGCCCGGCAAGGCCACAGTAAGGCAAATTTGGGATGCGCTGCCTTCCTTGGACAGATGGATTCCAGAGCTTTATCTGTCCTCACCAGCAGTGGCTTCCTCATGGAATGAGGCTCAGAGGCCTTGGTTTAAAGGCCTGGGTTTTTGCTCACAAAGGAAGTGGGGGCTGCCTGGGTTCTTTCCCCAGAACTCCACTCAGGCTGGCACTGAGGATACCTGCATGGCAGTGGGGAAAGTCTCACGGGAGCCCTGGGAGTGCTGCCAAGGAAGACAGGGACCCGGGGAGTCCTCTGCCTGGGCCCAGGCAGAGGACCCAAGGCTGCTCAGGCCACGGGCAAACCTAGCAGCATCTTACCCTGGAATATGCTGACGCCTGTTTGAAGATTTCAAGGGCAGAGTCTGCAAGTTCATCCCCTCGCTCCTGAGGTCTGTTGGCTGGAGACGAAAGAAAATGCAACATTGGTGAGAGCATGGCATTCACAGCAAGCACGACCGAGGGGCACTGTTGTGCCTGCTGGCTCACATTCTCCCATGAATTTTTCCTTCGTAACTTTTCCTAACTCACGGTGGAATTTGGCCCATGGGGAAAGAAGGCAAAAAAAGGTGAATGCACAGTGCAGGCAGCGGCTGGACTCAAGTTCAACCCTGCTGGAGGTAAAGAGAACTCCCATGAGGCGCGATGCTGTCAGATGTGTGCTCGGAGCCACGTTCACCGCATCCACGTGTGACAAGTAAGTGGGCCATGTCTGAGTGGGGCTTAGACAGGCAATTCAGCAAAAAGAAATGTGTCCTTGAGTTTCTGGTGTAGCGCATTTAAAACCAACAGTTCCTAATTCACTTTTCAATCGGCCACAGCGACGCTGTCCATAAAGGCTCAGATGGCATGTTGCGCACTATTCTTATCTTTGCATCGAACAGTTTTCCCGTCGAGCACCGACTGCCGTGCGTGGAGAAGGGTCAGCTGCAGGCTGAGCGGGGCTGGGATACTTTAGGGCCTTACCTGGAGGCTGCAGGACACTGGAGATGGCATAGACCACCCCATTGGTGGCCATGATGTCAGCTTCCGCAACCAGCTCCTTATTGACATTCACTACGTTGTTTTTCTGGGAGAAAAAGAGACGACATAGACCATATGTATCTTACTCACTCAGTAAGTGTTTACTGAGCGCTTCCAGAGGCCAGATACTGGGTTAGGTGTGAGGGAAACGCTGGGGAACGGAACGGCCCCCGCCAGCCACACGCCTTTAGCCCGGTGGACGCCTTCTAACGCCGGCGGGTGGCTCAGTGCGGTGTCATCTACAGAAGAGCCTCGCGCACCTCTCACTTCGTCCTTACAGCAGTGTGTGCTGAAGAGGCGGTGTCATTGCCCCACTTAGCAGAAGAGGAAACCGAGACCCAGGACAGGCCCGGTGCCTCCTTTAGTGGGTGGGATGGCGGGGAACAGAAGCCAGGCTTCCAGCCCCGGGTGTAGGGCTCCTTCCACTTGTCCTCAGCGGCCCGCCTTTCTCACAGGAAGTGCACCCAGGCGTCTACCTCAGTCCTTCCCGAACGGCTCATGGATCAGACCCAAGGGGGAAGGGGGGACGGACGCCTGTGATGGGACCCCAACACCCAAAACTAGAAGTCAACAAGTCATCACATTCTGGCTCCCTCCGTGGTTCCTCAGGCTCCGGAGGGAAAGTGATATGCAAAGGGATGGCTGAAGGTCAGGAGAGAGGAGCCCCGAGCAGAGGCTGAGCCAGCCACATTCTGGAAGAGTGGTGGCTCCACAGGGGAGCCCAGGGAGCCTGGCCAGTGCAGCCAGGAGGCCACGGCAGCTTCACTGAGCTCAGCTGCCTGTCTGTTCTCTCTCTTCAGTGAGGGAATCCCCCGAGGCAGCTTCAAAGCGGAATGTGTGTCCTCAAGGTGCAGAGCAAGGGAAGGCTCGCAGACCACGCCTCTGCAGAAAAAGCCTCGTGGGATGGTCTGGCTCATGGTGGAGCTCGGTGAGCCCCAGATTTGAAGGGATGGGGTAGGAAGGGGACTGGGGATCGATCCCTCAAGCTGCATGAGTAATTGCCTATCATCTCCTTAAGGGAAGGAAGATCTAACGGCCTCTCCCCCACACCAGTCAGATGCTTGATTCCCCAGCAAATCTGGAAGTTCTTATTCGTGTCTAACCACAATCTCGCCTCATTTCCCCAAGACCCTTTCCTCTTTTCTGTCTTTGGACAGAATGCACTCAGAGATGCAAGGTGCATCTTCAAGACTGTGTGTGAGTGTCTAACACTGGCCCGGGGGCTGAGAGGTGCCCTGGAACCCCAGTGGCAGTACATGGCTGGCCTTTTAGTTCTTAGGCACACTCACTGAGCTGACTTCCAGCTTGTCCCCCTGGAGAGACTTCAGCCGCACCAGGGCCCCGATGCCCCCGCTGACCAGGATCTCATCGCCAATGTGGTATTTCAGGATGTTGGCCAGCTCTTTGGCATTGCCTGCAGGTTTGTGGCAAAGAAAGGAGGGCAGAGTTCATCGCAAGGCTGGTAACCGGCACGGTCGAGAAGGGCCGAGACGGGGATGCAAGTGGTGATGCCTGAGACGGAGCCCCCCCCCCCCCCCCCGCCGACCAGGTGAGCAGCACACAGCTGGTGCGCTCAGCCCTCTGACCTGGAGCCTGCAGGAGAGGCTCAGGGGATGGAGGCCCGTGTCTGCCTCTACAGTCGGGGGGCTGCTAGGTTAAGCAAGAGCTCTCTGTGCTGCCGAGAAGGAGTTAATCCATACTCCTCTGTGAGCATGACTCATTTTTCCATGAGCTAAATATTTGCTTGGAAAGCCAGGAACCTTTCCAGCACCAGCATCTGGGACATTTCATCAGCAGCGTGGCTCCTGATGGTTATAACACAGTAGTGAAATATTTACACGTTCTGCCCTCAAATGCATATTCTGGGGCGGCCGTTTCCTGCAGGGAGAGCTTAAAAGAGTCAACAGCTGCCATCTGGGGGGGGGTTGGGCAGCCGATGAGGTCAGGGCTGAGGGGGGCACTCCCTCCGCAGCATCCCGCTCGTCACGTCTGGGCATTCCTTCCAGCCCACACCAGCTTCTCCACCGACTGGGGAGAGCACCCGATTGCTCATAAAGGTGCCCAGGCATTTTCCAAATGGAGTGTGGGAGGCGATCCTTAAAGCCACCGGCCGCGCTCTCATCCGTCATGCGCCCTCCACCGGGCCCCGTGCTCACATTCCCAGTCAAGCGGCTCGATAGCCCCAGGGCTTCTGGGTGACTATTTCTAGCCTTTCGACACGGAGAATGGAGGAAGTTTTAAAGCTTTCTGGAGAGTTCACTTGGGTACAGACAAATCCACAGTAGTGCCACGGGATGCAGCCACCAGGTACCAAGTGGTTTCCAAACATCCACAACTTGGAGGATGGGAATTCCCATTCCACAGAAATCCTGCCTGGAAGTGCCGAGCCACGCCAGCCCCCAGGGTGCCAGAGGGCTCCCTCTGCCAAGACGTCTAATACCTGGATTGACCTCTTACACCTGGCCAGCCCCCCATCTCCCAGGAGCGCTGGGGGCTCCTCCTGCCTGCAGGCCTGGCCGAGGGTGCGTTTGGGAGACTTGGCCCAAGCCTCCCCCGACCTGTACAACTGAAAACGAGAGGGGAACTGAGAAGGCTCAAGGCCATCTGGGGAATATTCCACTCCTGCTGGATGGGGGGGCGGGGTGGAAAGTTTATGTTCAGAATGAACATACGTCAGCATCAGAGACACAGGCGTTCGCTTGGCCATAAAGAATATTCAACAAGACACAAATTCAGCCCACAGCTGCCTGCAGCCTGAACTTTCTGAATAGAAAATTCCTTCCTGCTCTGGAACGGGAAGGAAGGTGTAGATGATGTGGGCCCCAGGGTGTGGCCAAGGTCCTTCCTCCTCCCCTATTTTCTCTTCCCTGCCCCTCCTCCTCCTCAGGCCCACCTTTTTGTGAGCATGGAAGTGTGGGTCACGGGCGAGCACCAGGGCTCAACGCTGCATCCCCGCCCCCACTCCCCATCACGGCAGCCAAAACTGGGGGAGGATGTGTGCCCGGCGCTGCAAGCAACACCTCACTTACTCCACACGACACACAGCAAGGCACTCTCATTTTTCTAAGGGGAACCCTGAGGCTCAGAGAGGTTAAACAACTTGCTAGAGGTCACTCAGCCGGTGAACGCCAGAGCCAAGAACTGAAACTGCTTTTAGGTCATCCAGCAGTCCAAGCCCTTAACCACTGGGATTCTCTCTCAAACATCCTCCGCTAAATTTCTCAGGGCCAGGAATAGCTCCTCGGTAAAGCTTTTGCCCTGAGAGACATTTCACACAGGTAAAATGGCTTCATTGTCGCTGTCCTCATAGGTCCTCATGGGGAAGACACGGCTCAGGGACGGGGCTGGTTGTTCCGCACTCCATGCCTCTCTACTCTTCTCAGCCTTGTGTAGCACCTTGTGTAGCACCCGGGGAGACTGACCGCTGTGAAGCACATCACCCGGCCTCCTTTGCCCCCGTCTCAGAGCTGACAGGGGGCCCACGCAATGGGCCTGTGCGAGGACAGTGAGGCTAAGGAGGCCTGGCCCCCTGGCCTTGGTTCTGCCAGCAGGCGCCTGAGGCTCTGGCCCCTCCTCCGAGCTCCGGTTCTCCCTGTCCACTTCTCAGCCCGGCCTCCCCATCCCCTGGCCTGTGGTGGGAAATACTTTTCCCCGGGTGCCATCATCCTTTGCTGGTCCCTTACTCCTGCCCACACTTCCAGAAACAGGCTCCTCGTTAAGTTCCTTTCAGTCAAACCCTGGGTAACATGCCCCCCCTTTCCTGCTGGTCCCCTGACCGCTCCAGTCACGTTAGAAACCATGCAAAATACACGTCGCTTGGTCTTTACCCAAGAGTTTGTTCAGCTCTTCCTGTGGCATGGCTTGGAAGGCCTCATTCGTAGGAGCAAAGACTGTGTAGACGCCTTCCCTGTTGAGCACCTCCGTCAGCCCGGCAGACTGGATGGCGGCCACCAGCATGCTGGGGAGATGCACAGAGAAAATGTCACCTGCCTGTGGCGGGGAGAGGGTGCCCACCTTCCCAAATACCTCCCCGCTGCGGGTAGGTGGAGCCCAGAGCTAGAATTCACACCCCTTGCTGGTTTTCACCCCCTGATCATGCACAAAGAGGGAAGATTCCAGTCTGCATCTTCTCTCCATAAATGCTCAGCTCCGTCAAACAGCCAGAGGTCAGAGGCCACAGGGGGAAGGAGGAAGGAAGGGGCCAAGCCATCAGACCCCGGGGATGTGATTCAGGGGAGTGCAGAATGTGGGGGGTCTCCCAGGGATGAGCGAGAAGTCAGAAATGGAGAGAGAGGGGCAAGACAACAGAGTGACACAGGGAGCCCGAGAAGGAGCAGCAAGGAGTCTTCAGGGGCCCTAAGGAGATATTGTGCAGACTGAGACTCATCCCACACTCAAAACCAGGTGCTCTCGGCTTACTTGGACTTTAAGATGACAGCGTGGTATCTTTCTTGCACTTCATATGAAAATGCAGCCCCCTCCCTGTTCCCAAGGATGTGGGGATTACAGTCCCAGAAATAACCCTTCTTCTCAACATAGGCTTCCAGCATGACCCCCACCCCAGATCCCCAGCATGGAAGGTCGCCAGGGCACTGCCAGTGTTAATTGGACCCCTGAGGAAGCGGGGAGCTTGACAGACAGCTGAGACCCAGCATCCTGACCCGGCGGGACCACTTGGCAGAAATCTTCCCTGGGATGAGGCTGGTTACCTGAAGCGATTGTCCCCCTTCAGGATGTCCATGACAGTCCCCATCGGGGGGGTGAGCATTCGGTCCATGGTAAAGAGTGTCCCATACCTCCCCCTCTTGTCATGGGCGGCAATGCAGCTGTTCTCGATGCACAGGCTCTGTGCCAAAGAGGGGCAGACACAGGACAGGTCACCTACCTGTAGGCGGGCCTCCTGATCCGCTCAGGGCACACACTGGTGTCTTCATCCACAAAGATCAGTGACTATACACTGGAGTGGGTCATTACAACTAGGATAAAATGTTGTGTTTTCTCCAGGAAAGGAAAAATAAAAATAGTGTTCCCTAAGGAGAAAGGGCCATTGGGCCCCACTAGAGTTAGAGAGAGGCCCCAGGATGAGACTATCCCATTACATGTGAGGTTCATCGATAATGATCAAATCAATAGATCAACTCTACTGGCTTATTTGTTTAACAGATGACAACCATCTTTAGTTAATAGTACTGGCTGGTCCCAAGGAATGGCTGTGTTGTATTGTGCTTTCTGGTTGATATTCCAGAGTAACTATTAGGTTTGAAGACAGAAAAGGACAGCAGAAGAGAGAAGAGAACCTTCTGGACCAGGGAGAGCTGTGCTTCAGTTCAGAGGACTTGTCTTTGCATAAGGTAAGGATTCAAAATCTCCATCCCTCCTCCCCTGTTAATCACGCTGAGCTCGACGTGGACCGCTGCCTACCTACCGGCTCAAAAAGCTGTGTGGTATATTCCCAAAGGCCTCCAGCAAAGGAGATTCTAATCCCTCTGCAGGATCCCATTTCAAATCAGATTTCCAGAAATCCCTTCCTTTCTTACTAGAAACCAGTTCTCAGGCAAGCTTCTGCTTATTGAAGATTTATATATAAGATATAAAGATATAAAGATATACATAATAGCTATCTATCTATCTATCTATCTATCTATCTATCTATCTATCTATAGATTTCACTAATACAGTTTCCAATTCTTAGAGCTGAGACAAAGAAAGAGCATGATTTAGGAGCCAGAACTTACATTGCGATAAACAAAAACTCTCAGTTTTTTGCCACCCAGAGTGTCCAGGGTCTGCCCATGATACAGATACTTGGAGGCTAGCTGGTCTTTAACCATGTGATTCAGAAGCAAATTCTTTGTATATGCATCAATGTTAGGGGTTCCATCTGCAAGAGAAGGTGTGGTCAGGTCCAGAGGCCCGCTCCAGAAAGAAAGACAATGAGAGACAAATGCGTTTGGAAATGGGGGATTGAGAAATCCAGTGAGGCTGCCAATATTCCTTAACATCTGGCATCTTCTGCAAATCAACCAAACAAAAGAAGGTCTAGATAACCGAGGGCGTCTGGAGTTTTGCCCGTGGAGGGAGGGAAAGTCACGGACGCCACTCGGCCCCCTCCTCCGCCTTCCCTGCAGCCAAGGCTCAGCTGTACCCTCACTCTGACCTCCTGTCTACCACATGAGCAGTTGATTCTGCAAATAAAAAGGCAAGAGAGCGCTCTGCTCTCCGGCCAGGGGCAAACTCTTGAGTTCTGAGGACCAGAGCCCCGAATGCATTCTCTGCTCTGCCAAAGGATACAGCAGAGCCCCTGGGGTTTTGGTTGAGCCGGGTGGAAGTGCTAATGTTCCACGGGGTGCTGTCCATCAGGGAGGGTGCCGTGGAGGTGACCGGCTCCCAGGGGGCTGCCTTCACCACGTTACCTTTGAATACGGAATTCAGGGGGGCCAAGAGGGTCAACCGCTCCTTTCCGGAGAGATGAGTGCCGAGGCCAGCCTGTCTGAAAAGGTCAACGGCTGTGGAAACATCAGACTCTGCAGCCAACTCAAACAGCGTCTTGGCTGCAAGGAAAGAGAATGCAGGTTCAAAAGTTACAAGTGCTGTTTTCATTTATCCTCCGTCCACCCCACAGCATGACGCACACCAGCAGGAATGTCATCTCATGAGTCAACGGCCCTCTCAGCCCCGCTGGGGCACGCCGGGCTCGTGCCATCGGGCCACCGGGCCCCCAGGCCTCCCTGGGCAGGGGAGAGAGGTGAGGCTCCGGAGGCAGAGGTTGGCCTCTGTCCCCGCCCCCGGTCAGGGCGCCTTCTAAGGCCTGTGGCAAGGCAGCGCCATCTGCGTGGTGGCTTGAGGAGCAGGTAATGCCAGCAACCACCCCCACAGAAACTTGTCTTCCGGTCTGGTTTTCTCCTGGGAAACTGCTTCACTCCTGCGCAACCGACCTCCTTGGAATTCCAGAATGAGGCTAGCCTGCTGAAGGAAGCCCAAGCCAAAGCCTACTCAGTCACTTCTCCCAGGGTCCCTGCGATGCTTGGGCACCATCTAGAAGGCAGATGCTCAGAGGTCAGCAAATGGCCCTCTGTCCCCAACCAGAGCAGGCAGATCTCCTGAATGGCTTCTGCGACTGAGTCGCTCCCTCGCCAGCCCCCCTCAACAGCTCTCCACTGCCTCCAAAGTGATGCCTAGACTCCCAGGCCTGCAGCTCAAGATTCTTCACAGTCTGGCTGCAACCTGCCAGGGGCCCAGGCCCCCTCTCCTGAGAGGCTGTGAGCTGGGTGCAGGCAAGGAAATGGCCCCCAAGGTCCCTGAATTCCCCAAGGGCCCCCACCATGGATGGCAGAGGGGCCAGCAGGCCTGGCAGGATCATGGCCCCAGAGGCCTGGCTCACCTGAGTCTGGGATGAGCAGCTCATCGATGAAGTGGATCACACCATTGGTGGCCAGGATGTCTTTATTGGAGATGATGGCCTTCCCGTTGATGGTGAGCATGTCCCCGCTGCAGCCCACCTCCAGCGTAGTGCCCTCCAGGGTCTCCATGGACATCCCTGCCACGATGGCTTCTGCACACATGGCCGACTTCAAGATGTGGTTGTTGAGCAGGTCTGGGGTCGAAGAGGACACAGGTCAAGGCTGATCTCAGAGGCCAGCTCGCAGCCTCCAGGGCCGTGAGGATTCTATTCTCTCTGACGCTGACCCTCAGATGAGGCTGGGGCACCGTGCACCCCGGGGCCTCCTTTCCTCCTGCTGCTGCCCCCCGACATGGGCCACGCTCAGCAGGCAGACTACCTGAGTCTGAATCCCAGCTCAGCCTCCTACACGCTGTGGGACCCTGGGCAAGGCATGGAGCCTCTGGGAGCCTCAGCTTCCTCCTCAGGCAGAGATAAGCCTAGCATTCATCTCCTGGGGATGGTGTAAGGAGAACATGAAGCTCAGAATGTTAAGCACCCAGCACAGTGCCCGACAACAGGGTAAACGCCCAACAAATATTAGTGGCTAGCTTATTAGCACCTCAACTTGAGCTTGAATTCTCTTACGAGTACCTGAACCTCAAAATGAGTTTACCCTGGGATTTTTTATCTACTGACCTTCTAGAAAAGTATAAAATGTAGGAGGGAAAGACAGAAACTACAGCCAATGAGAGTTCTAGATTGTTTGCACATTTTACCTGTTTTTGTTCATTTTACCCAAGGGTCCACTAGCTGCCAGGATCTTTCTTCGGGCTGGGGAAGGGTAATCAATAAGACATGGTCTTTGCCACTCCCTTCACCCCACCCGTAAATCATAAATAGAATCATTTATTTCCTTGTCCAAGTGGCCTGCAGGGACAGGGCAGAGGTTGGGGGTCCTGAAGAAGCTGCAAGGAGCAGCAGGGGGGGATGTGACCCCAGCCAGGCAGGGCAGGTTCCCGGATGGCCGCTCCCCAAGGTCACCAGGGCCCTTTGTCCTACAGCCTCACCGCAGGGGCAAGTTTCAATCTGTGCAGAGTGTGGGAACCCAAACTGCCCTGTCACGGACAGGAGGAAGCTCGGAGGGCCTGCAGAGGCACGGGGCTCCCGCAGGGGTCTCAGGGGACTTGAAAGCCATTCAGCTGGCAGGAAGGGAAAGGACAGCCAGGCTGCCATGGGAACGAGGTCTCGGGGATTTAGCTTCTAAGGGAAGGAAAGTGAAGGCTGGGTGGGGAAAGGGTAACCTGCTAGGGCCATGGGGAGGGAGAGCAAGGCCAGGGCTGGAAGCCAGTCTTCAAATAAGGCAAGCCAGCCTAAGGCTGCTGCTTGCCTGTCTGCCAAGCCACTAGAAACGGCTGAGCCTCTCAGGCTGGCCTCCTGTCTCTCTGCCTTTGAGCCAGCCAGCTACAGCCCGGCACTGAGGGCCTGTGCTTCCAGCACACGGGCTACCAGGCAGGAAAAGGCCGATGTGCACAAGGAATAAATTAGGGCTGTCTTTTTCTTACATCAAGACTTCTGATATCTTCAAAGATGAGAATGTGCTCTGTGCAAAACTGGTTTTAGGGCGCCTGGGTGGCTCAGTCGGTTAAGCATCTGCCTTTGGCTCAGGTTATGATCCTGGAGTCCCAGGATCAAGTCCCACATTGGGCTCCCTGCTCGGTGGGAAGCCTGCTTCTCCCTCTGACCTTCCCCCTTCATGTGCTCTCTCTCTCTCTCTCACTGTATCTCTCTCTCTAATAAATAAATAAATAAAATCTTAAAAACCAAACAAACAAACTGGTTTTAGGGAGAATACAGCTCTAAAAAGAAAGTTCAGTATGCTGACATGCGCCCAAGCCTCAGCTCCTTCAGGAAGCCTCGGGACCCCTTTGGCTGCATGTGCCCCAGCCCCACCCCCATGCCCACCACCGTGGGGGCATCTGTGTCATAGTGCTCACCACTTCAGATCCCATGACCTATTTTTAATCCCAACCAGGCTTAAGCTTCCTTGAAGACAAGTCTGTACCACGTTCCCTTTTGGAGCCTCGGTTCCTGCCACAGGCCAGGCACAGAGGCGCTGCAACATCTGGACACAAGAGATCCCCATCTGTGCTTTCAGAAATGTGCCCTTGCCAGCCCTGCGTGGCTGCAGGGAGAACATTTTACGTTTATCAGGCATCTGAAATGCAGTAGGTATTCCAGATCGTACATTATGAAGGTGGGTTTAATAGCCTCCAAAGAAACGAAGTCATCCCTGGATTGTATTTGGGAGGAATAAGTATGTTTGGGGTCCACAGGGGACCAGGGGGCTACTCCTCTCTGCAGGAGACTCAGGGGTCAGTGGCCAAGCCCGGCCTTTGCTCCCTTCCCCTCTCATACATGCTGGGTCCTTCCCTCTCCTCCAGCAATAATCAATGCACCCCTAACCAAGCAGCTCATTGAGGAGGCATGGAAGGACCCAGCTATGAAGGGTCAAGGGTCGACTGTAACCGGTTATTAACTGTAACTTTGGGTTATCCATGAGGTCCCTGGCCAGACGGGAAGAGTTCAAGGGTCAGCATGCTGGCCCCATTCCAGGGACGCCAGGCCCTGCCATCTCCTCGCCACTCCTCCAAGCTGCTGCCTGCTTGGCAGCCTTGCTCTGGCTTGGGGAGCATCTTTAGCTCCTCCTGCATCTGGCCGGCACCTGCTCTGGACCTCCGGCCCTGCCTTGCTCCTCAGCACAGCTGCTGCTAGACAAAGGCTGCCGGGCGCTCTCCTTGCCCCTCTGACCAGGGCTCTGCTCTGGCCTCTGCAGGGCCACGGCCAGGTGAGGCGATGAGACAGGACAGCAGGCGGCATGTCTGTCTCGTACAAGAGCAGGCCTCGGGCTCAGTCTGGCTGCTCCGGTGAGGCAGCAGCAGGAGCTGAGGGGTGCTCACCTCTCAGGGCTTCTGGGTCACCCAGGATCCTGTTCAGGGTTTCAGCGGGGATCTTCTCGAAGGCCTCATTGGTAGGGGCCAAGAGCGTGAACTGGCCGTCACCTTCAAGCACGGTGTTGAGCCCGGATGCGGCCACGGCAGCCTGCAGCGGGGGGAAGAGAATGAAGGGTTCCCTGAAGGCTCTGGGATGCTCTGCAGACGGCCTCGCCAGGCCTCCCCCAAAGGCTCCAGACTCTTGTAGGACCCAGGATGAGAGGACAAGAAACCAAAGCTCACCTCCCACCTTGGTCTCCTGGGACCTTGCCAGGCCTGAGCGCCCACCACTCTGGTCATCTCTCAATTACTTCCCGTGCCTTTGGCCTTCCCGCCCCCAGGCTGCACCATTCCCTCTGCCCTTCCTCCTTCCTTTGCTTCTCTCACTCCTGTCCCTTCACTGGGACTTGACTACAGTGTCGCTTCTCTAGGCAGACAACGTGGTGTTGCCCCCATGACCACCCCTCCCACCTGCCACTGCCCGCCAGATGAAAATGAGTCTGTTGTACTGTATTTTCACAGCTTGCATCCTCCTCGTGTTATACTTAAATAGCTCCTGCCAATGCTACCTGTGTGAGCTCCAGGAGCGGAAGGATCGCACCACCCGTTTCTATAGAGCAGCCCCCGAGGGTCTTCTAGGAGCAGAAAGGGGCTCCTGCTGCCGCAGGGACAGGGACACACCCCCCTGCCCAGCCTGCGGCCCCGCAGGGGCCGCCCCCACCTCACCTGCTGTGCGGGTCTTCATTCTGGTCCTGCCCACCTCCCTCTTGCTGCTCTTGCTCCTGAGCCTTCGCTCTTGCTCTCCCCTCAGCCTGCTGTGCTCTGACCCCTGCATTTCATGTAGCTGGCCATTTTCATCCTTCAGTCCTCAGATCCAAAGTCACCTCTTCCAGAGAGACCTTCCCTGACCACCTGGTGCCAACTGGCCCCCTCGGCTCACCACTCCCTGACTTCACGATGCCCAGCCCTGTCCACGGCTACCTCGTGTGCATCTGGCCTGTCTTCCCAGGAAGAACAGAAGTGCCACGGAGGACAGAAATTTGTCTGTCTCGTTCACCTCTATACCCCCGGCACGGAGAACAATACCTGGTAGGGAGCAGGTGTTAGTAAGTATGTATTAGCGGAAGGAAAGATGGGTGTTAGGGAGACCCAAAGGGGAGGAGGAGAAGAGGGAACATTTGTCAAGCCTAAACAGTAAGAGCGGGTCGCTCAGTGTGGATCAACTGCTGTCAATCAAGAGGTGCCACCAACTTTGTGGGGACATCATTCCTTCGCAGACCCCGGACCTCAAGGTGACCCAGAAGGAAAGCAGGGGAAGAGCTTAGAGAGGAGGGTCCCCCGCAGAGCCACTTCCTGAGGCCACCTCCGTGCCAGTCCAGCCCAAGGGTGTTTGTCTCTCTGTGTTGGAGATCTCCAGGGGAGGAACCATCCCACTCCCCTTTGGTACCCTTTGTGGTCAGGAAGTTCTCCTTGAATCAGGGCGAAAACCCTGACGGCGCAGCCTGTGTTCACTTCCTCTGAGCAGCCCCTGCCAAGAGCAATGCCTGCTTGCTGCTCCAGTTCAAAGACCAACGCCTGCTGGGCAGGGCCGAAGGAATGGTATTCTGCGGCCATGGAGTAGGCAGAAGCCTGGGCAGAAGTCAAACCCGGACTTCCGTGGCCTCTCTGCTGGTCTGGGCTCCAAGGAAACATGGGGATGGCTGAAGCAGGGGCCCCTGGCAGAGACATGCGGTCCAGAAGATGGTGAAGCCTGACATTATTCTAGTCCCGCATATGGGAACTGGCCCCCGGGGGGAAGGGCCCTCTCACCTCTGGGGTCCACGGTGCAGGCCCAGGCAGCCTAGGGCTCCAAGGGACCCACCGTGCTGCAGCTGCAGACTACTGAACTTTCCAGGGGAGTCACAAAAGGACAGCTTTACAAAGGAGAGGACGGGCAGAGGGAATTTCCCAGCAGAGAATTAGGATGTTTCGATGTGGTCAAGCTCAGTGTCTGATGAGTGGACCCTCCATGTTCATGGGCTCTTAGAAGAACTTGCTCTAACACCCGCTAAATGCCCATGAAGCATTTAGCTTCTGCTGCAGAAGAAGGCCCTTTTGAGAGGGGGTGTGTCCCCAGGCCAGCCGCCCCCCTCCCACGGCAGTCCCTCACCCGAAGGGTCTCGAAGGTGTCTTCGATCTCGATGATCTGCTGGATGTTGTTGGTGACGGTGGAGATGACCTTATCAATGAGGTGCACCACACCGTTGGTGGCGTGGTGGTCGGCTTTCAGCAGCCGAGCGCAGTTCACGGTCACGATCTGTCCAGAGAAGAAAGGCAGATGAGCGGTTCACCTACCAGAGGCGCAGGCTCGAAGCCCCAGCAAAGGAAAACAGTGCAGCACCTGGGTTCCACAGCTGTGGAACCAAAGGGTCTAGGGAGAAGCAGTGCCAGAGGCGGGGGTGACCTCCAGCATACCTAACCCGCAGAACGAAACCCCAGAGACCAGCCCCATGTGCAGCCCGGGCGTGGGCTCAGGGTGGACACAGGGTAGTGCTGTGTCACTGGGGACTCCCTACCCCGTTGGGATAGTGGTGGATTTGGATGCCCGAATTCTGGTACATGGAGGTGAGGGCCATGCCGTGTTTCAGCTCATCTGTCAGGACCCGTCTGTTGACCATGTGGTAGCGAAGGGCATTGAGCAGCTCGATGTTGACATTGCTCACCAGGGAGTCCAGCACTTCCTAGAAAGAAGGCCAGAGCAGCAGTTAGGGGGCTGCAGACCACAAAGGGCAAGAGAGGTGGCTTCTTGCTACCCTGGGGAAGGTGCTCTGGAAACCAAGGATGCCTCCTCCATGACCACCAAAGTCTGTCTGCTCAGTTGGACAGGGTGGGGCCCGCACTGGAAGCCGTCTAGTGGGGTATATTTTAACTCAAGCTCCCCGACTTCATCTGAGGGCTCAAGGAAAGTTTCCTGCGACAGTGGGAAGTCACCAGAGGCTGCCCACCAGCCACCCCTCAGGGAAGTAAGGTCATCTCACGGCTGGCAAGGAAGCCCAAGCCTCGTTGCTCGGAGCGAAGATGGTGAAGCTGCCGGGCCCTTCCATCTCGGGTCTCAGCTTCTCCGTGCGGTCCGTGTACAGCTGAGTAGTGGTGGACCCAACGACACCCAGGGTCTCGTAAAGGTTTGAGAGAGGCAGGGCTGCAGGGGCAGAGGGCAGAGGAGGGACGGACCTGTGGGGCCCACCGCAACCAGACCACATCTTCCCTGGTCTGCAGAGACCGCGGTACCTCTGCAGGACAGGGATGTGGGAAAGCACAGGGACGGCCACCACGGGCCAGCCTAAAGCCTACTCCTTTTTTTAAAAAAAATATTTTATTTATTTATTTGACAGGGAGAGACCAAGCACAAGCAGGGGGAGCAGCAGAGAGAGAGGGAGAAGCAGGGTCCCTGCCGAGCAGGGAGCCCGATGCGGGACTCGATCCCAGGACCATGAGACCATGACCTGAGCCGAAGGCAGATGCCCAACCAACTGAGCCACCCAGGCGCCCTTGTCACATACTCCTTAAAGCAGCTCTGGAGGTCCAACACCTCCTTGCTCAGATTCTATTAACTGGTCATTTTTCATCATTTTAGCCACAGGAAAATGAAGCTTCTGTTCACATTTAAACATTTGTTTATTTATCTGAGAAAGAGAGAAAGAGAGAGTGCAAGCAGGGGGAGGGGCAGAGAGGATCCCAAGCAGACTCCCCTGAGCGCTCAACGCTCGCTCTCAGGGCCCTGAGATCATGACCTGAGCTGAAATCAAGAGTCAGATGCTTAACCGACTGAGCCACCCAGGCGCCCCTGCTCATAGACATTTACATAATAGCAGTAGGAATACACACCCAAAATAGATACCCTAGTTACAAACTGGGCTTTCAGATTTATCTAGTTGTTGAAACTGGTTTCCTAATGGCCTCTGCTGGAATGAAAGAACCTTACAAATCTTCCAGGTTCTTTGTCTATTTACAAGCAATAAAATGTTATTTCCTAAAAGCCCAAAAGAGGCCTGAAGCTTAGGAGGCCTTCCCCTCCCAAAGGGCTTGAGCTGCCCTGCTAAGGCCATTCTCCTCTCCCCACTGCCTAATTCCCACTTGCCCTTCCACCTAAGCCCCCCACCCCCATGCCAACCACACCCCCTTGTGACCTTGGCACCAAACTGCCCCTTCCTTTTAAGTCCATCCCACATTCTCAAGGAATAAATGGCAAATATTTGAAAGTTAAAACTCCCCCCTCTGCACAGTCCCTGGGGGGTATGCTTGAAGGAGGGCCTCTGATAAAATTCTCAGGTGCCAGTCTTCGGCCCCTGTGGCCAGGCATGGTTCCCTGTGCTGCTTCTAAGGTGAGCCTTCCTGGTCTGCCACCTTCCTCCCAGTGGACCCCAAAGGACCAAGTTCCCGCAGAGGGAGGAGGAGGTGGCTTAGTGCTCCAGCCTGGCTCTCCAGCTGAGCCAATCAGAAATGTTGGGTGTGGTTAGAATCCCTCCCAGCCAGAGATAACAAGGCCAGCAGCCCAGGTCTGGGATGCAAGCAGGGGCGGGTTGGAGTTGGAGTCTGTTGCACCAGCCTGGTAAGGAGGTCAGCTTGCAAAGGAAAGAGCAGGGCAGGAAGCTCCCTGCTCCCAGCTTCCACACTCTGGCCCCGCCTGGAGCCAGAGAGCATGCGGGGAGGATGTCCATGCCGCCCTGTGGCTCAGAATCGCCCCCCCTCCCCCGCCCCCGTGCTTGGACTCTGCTGCTTGTTACGTGGGGGCTCCTCCCTCCCGGTCTCCCTCTCCATCCCAGCACCAACGTGCCAGGTCACCCACCTGCAGGACACCCCTTCTCGCCTGGCACCTTTTCGTATCCAGGACAGCACTCATAGCTGATGACCCTGCAGTGAGACAGACACACATGTGAGGCGACGCGGGGCTTCCCCCCTCCTGGCTGTCGTCGCAAGAGGGGCCTCCACAGACAGAAGAAAGGAAGGGACGGTAAAACATCCCGCTCTCGGAGGAGACCTTTCACTCAGCCGTAACAGTGTATCAGTGCGTTTTGGAGCAAGGAGCTTGTCACTCCTCCTCAGGTTTGGAGAATGTTCCCAAGGGTTGCCATCCCTACAGCAATCCCGCTGGGACCGCGGCAGCACGTTCCATAGGCGGATTAGAAAACACACCCACCAGGAATTTGTCTCTAGCGTCACTCATGGCGAACCCCATGGTTAGCATTCTCGAGAGGCAGAGGGGGAGGAAGGGGGGGTGCCCTGGACCTGTTCTGGCTGACTCTGCCGCTAACCGCCTGGGACCTCTGCTGCCAGTCCTGTCTCCTCCCTGGGTCTCCGTTCCCCGCTCTGTACAACCTGTGTGTGTGTATCCTGCAATGGTCATCGGACTAAATCTCTCGTGCTCATCTAGCTCTCTGATTTAATAACTAAGAAGCATAGCGTAGAGATGCTCATCAAGTTTTTCTGTCTTTACAATCAAACTGTAAAACTTTTAAAATTAAAACAAAGCTCCTTTGTTTTTTTTCCCATTTGTTTAAATTGAAACCCAAATCCCAGTAACAACATGGATATGGTTTCAAATCGAAAATGTACAAAGGATCATAGAGCAGAGTGTGCCCCATCTAACCTTGTCCCTCAACCACCCCCTTGTCCTTCCAGGAGGCAAGAGCACCTCCCTCTTTGCCCTCCTCCCTCCCTGCTCCCGCCTGCCTCAACCTCCTTCTGGCCAGCCTTCCCCCTATGCTGCTCCTTTCTAACCTTTCAGCCCCACACCCTTAAGGGCTCTACTTATACGAGCTAAACAGACTCAAGACTTGCCTTGACTGACCCACAATTTTATTTTCAGAAACTAAAGTCATCTTCTGCAATGAAAGAAGATTTGACTGATATGCAACCTTTCAAAGGCAGCGTGGTGTTATAGAAACAGTACAAGAATTAAGGGACCTGGCTTGCGACCCATCGGTAACTAGCAGGGTGACCTTGAAGGTCCGCTTTTCTCTCAGGGTCTCCGTTGCCTCATCTATGAAACGAGGTGAGGTTAAACTGGATGGTCCCCAAGGTTTGTTCCAATTTCACACTCATGGTCCTAGTCACTGGGATTATTCCTAGGGGGCAGAGAAGCTGTCTTTCAAAAGGAGAGTGTCTGCCGGCTTCTCCCAGCTAAATCTAGGGAGAGCTCCAGGCCTTAGGCCCATAGATCCAGGGGACACCCGTGCACGGGATCCCGGGGCTTCTCTGATAAACACCACGGCTCTGTGGCTAGGGTTAGAGAGGTGAAATTAAGATCAAGCCCGCCAAAGCTTAGCTTCTTTCTAAAAGTGCTTGGGTGACACTCCATGGAACTGGAGAAGCACAGTTGGAGGATGGGTCTTCTCCTCAAAGCTCTCCTCATCCCAGGGCCCGCCCCCCCCATGCATATGGGTGCTGCACACTCCACGCCTTGGGACCTCCAGCTGTTCTGGCCAACAATTCTTCTTCCAGGTTGTTGGCTGGACACGAGAGCGCTCCACAGCTCATGCGGCCTCACCAGAATTTCACTGAGGACTGAGAAAGCCAACTCGCCAAGTGTGAACTTCGCAGTTCTGTGGCTGCATGTATATGTGTGTGTGTGTGTGTGTGTGTAGCGGGGCGGGGGGGTGGTGGTGTGGGGAGAAAAGGGGCTGAGGGGTCGGGAGGAGAGACCAGACCTAAGCAGACAAGTCTCACTGTAGAGAAGAATATCTGGGATGGAATTAGAAAGCTGCAAGGGCTCTCAGGGGCAGAAGGGTTTCTTAAGATCACAGCTGGGTAGGGGCAGATCTAGGACCCCCTGGGATTTCATCAAGTCTCATCCCTTTTCCATGGCTCTTGGCAACATACAGACTGGTGGCAAGCAGACTGATCTGACGCTGAGAGGACGCAGGTGCACTCTTCAATGTGGACAGAGCCCCCACTTCGTCAGCACCCGCCTCGTCAGCCCCCTTTCCGTGTGGGCTCTGCACCCGCGTCCCAGCAGTGGCTGGACATGGGGGGCACAGTGCCGCCAGCAGAGGTCAGTCTGCCAGCCGAGGGCTTTTTCCTGGTTAACCAAGTGGCTCTGCCAGGAGGCTTTCTCCTTGTCCTCCTGCCCTGCTGGCCTCTCCCTCTTCTGCCTTCCTGCTGCCATAGTCCGGCATCCTTGGCACTCCCTCGGTGCGCAGCTGTGAGCCATGCCTCTCACCCCCGGCCTGGCTGAGATGCTTCCTCAGCTGGCAGTTTCCCTATTCCCAACTCTCCCCACAATACCAGCTCTGCTCAGAACTGGTCTGCGTGGCCCCAGAGAAGCAGAGGCAGCTGGAAATGGCAGACTGAGAAGACAGCCCAATGAGACAATCTTGATCAAACCTTTCTGGACTAGCAGTGCCTGTTCTCAGCCCAGTACGCCATTGCCCTTGGGCTCTGGCCCGGAGGAGATGGGGCTGGGGGCCATGAGAGGGTTGTGGGTCTGATACCTTCTCTCTAGGAGGAAGGCAGGAAGGATGGAAACCACAGGAGCTTCCATCTGTGTCTCCCCAGTTCCTTGGCCTCCCTGTGTAGAGAGGATCAATCTACTGGTCTCCGAAGCACATCTCATCAGGGAAAGCTGCTCTAATGAGAGGCTCCCGGCTTCTCCTTGACCTAACACAGTCCAATAAGTAAAAACCTCAGTCAGAAAAAGAATATCTCTAGGATGATGAGACATGAATATTCTTGTTCCAGTTTCCCTGGTCAGAAGAACCATTTGAGGAAGGTGAGGAAAGGTACCCAAACAAGAAGGGCATTTAAAGGAGGCGGGCAGAGACAGCGTCTATCCAAGGTCTAAGGAGAGAGGTGGTTGGGAGGCTCTCCACCATTCCCCTCCAGAGTGTTACTCATGATCAGATACAGACAGAAGCATTGCTAGTTCTTTCCCCACAATGATTTTCCAAGAAGTTAATATAATAAGTTAAAACAATCACTCTCTCCAAGTGCACTTCAAAGTTCTAGCTGGTTGTCATGGCTGTAAATGGCCAGGGACTAACCAGCCTCTGGAAGTAGGTGGGGTGAGGAATGCAGTGCGAGCGCCAGTTTCCCGCGACAGAAGGTAAACCACTCGGCGTGTCATGATTTCCAAGCAGAATCACAGAGCAAATACAGCCCGATATTGTCTAGACATGAAGCCATCCCCCACGGACTGCTCGCCTGGAGTGGCTCCATTTCTGCTCTCCTGGCCTGGGAAACCCAGCGGAGCTTTCCTGAGCCTCCAGCAGAAAATCAAAATCTTGAGCTCCCTGATGAAAAAGGGCTCACTTGGACCTAATGGCCACTGAGAAAGGCCCCATCACTAACCAGGGTCCGGCTTGGTTCGTGAGGAGGACAGAGCCTTTAAAAAAATGTACGTATGTGTTTGGTGACAATCTGTGTGTGTGCAGTGGGTGAGGGCAGTGTGGGGGCTCCCGGACACCGACTGTGTCTCTTCAGTTCCCATGCCCTTTATCTGACCAGGGAGTCCCCTTACAGCAGGGGAGCAAAATGATCACCAGCCCGGGGGTGAGCAACCAGAAGAAGGCTGGTGACTCTGGGCCAAAGAGCCTCTGCTGCCCCTCAGGCTTGGTCTCTGGGACCTTCAGGCAGAGATTTTAGGGCTGTAGAGAGCAATGTGGGGCAGGTTACTCAGGCCCTACAGGGCTGCCCACTTGTGGGTCTTCCCACATGACTGACATTAGCTGCTGGGTTTAACTCTCCCTAGAGGAAGCACAGCAGAGTAGCTAGACCTGTCCCCCTTTCCCATCAGCCGACTTTGAACACACTGATTAGGCTTTCTGAGCCTCAGTCTCCCCATCTGTAAATGGGCTAATAATCATACTGTTCTCATAGGGTGACTATGGGAAGTCTATGGGCTCACATATGAAAAGAACTTCACAAATGCTTGATACTTACTAAGTGCTCAGTTGTTGGGCTTTTTTTTTTTTTTCTAAACTTCAGGTATAAAGTTGAAAATTGTAGTTAGGTTAATAACTTCATTGAAAGCAACGTCCTGCATGAGACAACTGATCAAGTCACAGTGTGATAAACGAATCCCCCATAAAATGCAACCTACAGAATGCAACAGACAGGGCCTGCACCGGTTTCCCACTGCTGCAATAACAAATAATCCCAGAGTTAGTGGCTTAAAACAACACAAAGTTATCACCTTAAAACCCTGGATGTCAGAGCCAGAAAGCAGCCTTATAAGGCTAAAATGAAAGGCTGCGTTCCTTTTAGAGGCTCTAGGGGAGAATGTATCCATTGTCTCTTCCAGCTTCTGGAGGCTTGTGTGCACTTCTTGGCCTGTGGTCACATCACTCCAACTTCATCTTCTTCTCTGACTCTGACCTGCCTGCCTCCCTCTTATAAGGACCCTCAGGATGACACAGAGCTCACCAGATAACCCGGGATAATCTTCCCGTCCCAAGATCCTTAACCTAATCCTATCAGCAAAGGCTCGTTTTCCTTTAGTTACAGGTTCAGGGATTAGGATGTGGACATCTTTAGGGAGCTGTTATTCTGCTCACCACAGGGCAGGACCCTAGATGCTACAGGGATCCATGGAAATACTCACCAGAACAAAATCCCCTGTCAGCTAAGCTGCCTCCTTGGAAGTTACAGAGTGGGACAGAACCTTCAGGAAATCCTGTACCACAAAACCTGGCGATCAGGCTATGCCAAATCTCAGTTATTTTGAAACACATTATTCATGGGGTCCCAGGCGGCTGCACAAGGAATATGAAACAGGGAAGGAAGTGCTGCTCCAGGTGGCATCCCTGGCTGGCTTCTCACCCTCCTTGTGGGACCAAGGTTGTGGGAGAGGGGACAGCTTCACAGCAGATGTCCCTGGGTGCCCTGCCGGCATGAGACGCTGGAAAGAGCTGTGCCGGCTGAGGGACAGGTTCAGCCATACCCCAGCTGCCTTCGCTAAAAGTTGAATCTCCAAGCTCTAACGCGGGGCTGAAGAAGTATTAATAGCTCAGCCCTTGGGCAGAGCAAGGCTGGCTCCTAGAGAAAGGGGTGTGTGCTACCAGCTCATCTTGGCTTCGCAGAATGGCTACAGGGCTCATGTTTCTGTTGCTGCTCATGAAATAACCCCAAAACTTCCGGAATGGACAGCTACCGCCCCTACCTGCTCGCTCGTCTGCCACGTTATGATGTCTGAGCTCCAGCTATGACTATTACCTCCCCGTGATGTCAACTCCGACCTGACTTGGCTGTGAGGCAGGCCTCCCTCTCGTGGGGTTCACACAAAGGAGGCCTGTCAGGAGGCAGCAAGGCTTCCTGACCACAATTTCCTGCCCTGTCGCTCAAGCTGCTGCACATAAAGTTTTTATGGTGACGGATCAGACTGGGGCCTGGAATCACAGAGTGGGATGCAATCTCCCGCCAGGCCATCTTTGCTTGATTAGCTCTTGTATCACTCTGGTGCTCTTTAGGATCTGGAATAAAAGCCAGTGTGTATTTCCAAGTAATAAAATTCACTCAAGTCGCTAAAGAGGGGCCCACTGGTAACCACTTCCTGTAATAAAATCTATATGGCAGCCTTGACAAGTAGCACCAAAGACTCTGGTTCTTCTCTCTTTGGAACTGCAGAAAAGCCACTGTCTAAGGACAATGTAGTGTCCTCGGACCAAAGTGCAGGGTGTGGCCAGTCCCCTCCCTTCCTCCATGGAGTTGGGAATCCAGGGCCTCACAGAAGCGGACAAATGGGTCCAGGACCCTGGGTCTCTGTGGGACTGGACACTGCAAAGTCTTCCCCCCGTGGCCCTGGGCTTGGTGCCACTTGTCTGCTTTCAAATTTAAATTCTTCTTCCAGACCTGGGCCCTTAGGGGACCTGTGCTGTCTCCTGCCCTATGACACTTTGCTTCCTTGCACCCCAACACACACCTCTGCTCCAGCCTCTTCCCTAGAGTTGTTGAGAAAGTTCTCACTGCTCAGTTGGCCCCATGAAGAGATGGTCCTGTTTGCTTCAACCAGAACTATGCTCCCCATTTCCCAGTCTGGTCTTCACCCCAGTAAATGCACCTCGGGACCCATTCTCATGAGGGTGATGTCAACTCCAGCCAACACAGCCCCCCCCCCCCACACTCCCTTCCTGACCATCTATGGCACTGAATTTCTGGGGGACAGATCTCAGCGCTCTCAATGGGCCTTGGGCCCTGTCCACGAGTGAAGTGCAAGGCTGCTCCATCTCAGTTCAACAGTGAGGATGGGTTCCCCTTTCCCTCCCTGAGTCCTCCGGACCCCTTCCAAGTCAGCTCCACCTTCCCAATATTGCATGTGATGTTCCAGGAAGGGACCCTCTTGTCCTGGATCATGAAGTTTTCTATCAACTCATGCTTTCCTAGCCTCATTTCCTCTTTTTTTGAAGTTGCCCAAAGCAATGGCCACACGAAGAGTTGAATGTGCACACCATGCCCCTGAGGCTTTCTCAGACCAGCTCAGAGGCTGCGACAAGGCTCTGGGAGCTACCTGACCCCACACTACCCCTCTACTCCCCACCCACAGCCCACCCACCTGCTCACTTCTCTCCCGGGCTCCCCCTGCTCTCACCCGTGTGAGGCTGCCCCCCCACCACATCAGCACGCTCTCAAAGCCAAGCCTGCCCAGAGGGAAGAATGGGTCATCAAGAACATTTGCCAACACACAGCTCTGCGGCCTGTGCCCCGTCCTGACACACAGACGGGGAAGGGTTTAGGTACTGGGAGCCAGGAAGCCAAGATGACTCATCACTGACAGCGGTCTCAGCCGGGGGAACTGCCGAGGAATGTTAGCAAGCTACTGTTAACCGGTCAGGCAAATGCTTCCACACAAGGCCACCCAAAATGCCATAGCCAATGCCACCCCGACGTCACAAGCAGGACTCATTTTTAGGGAAACCAGGAGTAACAAAAACGTGCAACTCTTGAAACCCAGGACTCTGAGATGGAGAAGAGCTGTTTGCTTGGCACAGGTCTTTGGTTACCTTCCGAGAAGCAATTAGGTGCGGCCTATGTTTCATTAAGTAATTAGTTAACTGTTTGAGTAGATAATATACACACAGGGGAAAAAATCAAACAGTACTAGAAACTGTTTTTTTGTTTGTTTAACTGCGGGCACCAAGGAAGAATGCATGGTATAGAATTTGCATAATCTCTTTTATTTTTATTTTTTTTTAATTTTTTATTGTTATGTTAATCACCATATATTACATCATTAGTTTTTGATGCAGTGTTCCATGATTCATTGTTTGTTCAAAACACCCAGTGCACCATGCAAAACGTGCCCTCCTCAATACCCATCACCAGGCTAACCCATCCCCCCACCCCCCTACCCTCTAGAAGCATAATCTCTTTTTGTCCACAGCAGCAAAAATTACTGCTGGTGGAAAAATTACTGCTGGTTCAGCAAAAATTATTACTGAACCCAAAAGGTGTGTCATGTTAGCTCACTCAGCCCTCACCTTTGAGGTTGGGCATGGTCAAGCGGGAGCCAGCAGTCACGCATCTGCCCGACACAAGCTCCCAGGGGGCCGCTTGATCCCATGATCCCCAATTTCTCTTGATTCGTGCCAGGATCCCTAACCGCCCAAGACAATCAGGGTCACAGGTTGGGCTGTTTATTTTCTACATCCATTTTCAGGAAAGAGCATTTTCCCTTCCTTCGGCAGGTCATGGAGTGGGAAGAGAGGTCTACTCAAAAGTCATGACCCAGGCAATACATTTAAAAAATCCCTAACGTGGGAACGAGTTGGAGACAGTGGCTTAGAGACTCTTAACCCCCCCTATTCTGCACCCAAGGGGAAGGTCAGGCCCTCCCAAGTGGCTCAGGAGGTTTCTCATAGCACTTCTTCCTTTCTACAGCAGAGAGCCATTGGTTGACTCTTGGTGCCAAAACAGAACTAGGTCGCCCAGGAATTCTGTGAGAACACACATGCCACGCTGTTTCCACTGGGCAGCAGGGCCTCTGGGGCGAATGCCACCTCCCCGGATGCAGCCAGAGGCACCAGCGAGGCCTGCGGGAGGCACCCGGGGCCCCACACCATTGGCACTCTCACTTCTGTCTGCACGGCCCAGATCTGTAAGAACAGCACGTAGTACCTACTAAGCACTTACTACGTGCAGGGCACCTCATCCGGCCTCATGTCTGGGTCACTGCATTCAGTCCTCGTGATGATCCTGGATCCCGGAAGGAAGTCCTTTATCATCCCCATCTGGCAGATGAGGCAGGGAGGGTTGCGGCTGTGAAGCAACCTGCCCAGCTAAGGGCAGAGCCAGCCTTGGAATCAGAAGGCTGAGCCGATGCTTTGCCGCCTCCTAACGTGCTTATTTCTAGGCACTCTGTCTTTTGGGGGTGTTTGCCCTCTGATGGCAGAGCAGAGTGGTGTGTAAGGTCACCAACGGGCCTTTCTTAGAGATACAGGCCAGGGGCACCTCCACTTACTTGGTACCACTTAGTGAGGATGAAGAAGCGCGTGCGCACACACACACAAACACACACACACACACACACACACACACACACACCCATATTTCATGCTTCTTATAATCCCACATCAGCCCTGAAAAACGCATCCAAGTCTTGTCAGGAGCCTTGAAAATACAAACCCACACTGGCCGGCTTACTCAAAACGCCACTCCCAAGCACACAGCTCCCCGACACGTCTGCACAGGCACCTTCATGACTCCTGCCGAGGCCTAACCTTTCAGAAGGCCGGCCCAGGCCCAGGGGCCCCACGGCTGCCCTAGGCATGGGATGGCCTCGCAGTCTCGAGCAGCCACAGACACTCACGTGGATTTGCCACAGATTTTCCTCTGGTACCACTGCTTGCAGTTGGTGAAGTACTTCTTGTTGGTGCCGATGAGCTTCTGCACAGCACACACGTTGGGCCTGAGATGAAAGCAGCCATGTTAGAAAGATGGGCAGCATGGCTACCCCACCACCATGCCCTTCCCCCCACGTGGGCCCTCCCAGGTCATGAGAATGTTCTAGACGTGGAGAAGTTATACAGTCACTTCAGTGATGGTTTCAGGGGGGTCGTTCAGGGGTGGAAACTGTCTCTAGCAATTTCTATCCCCCTGCAAGTTTCCTACCACATTAAATATTGTCAAAGTGTATCTCACATGCTGACATCATTTCACGTAAGGATCCTTCTTTGACACAGGTATTTGGTATGCATAGATCAAAGTGTCTCAAAATGTTTAGATCACATGCTACAGATTGAGACAATGAGCCAAGGAGTATGTTTGCTAAGCAAGGCAGATTTGAGAGAAGCTCCCAGCCTTTCTCTGTACCCCCAGCCCCCACTGAGCCAAAATGTCCACAGGTCCACAGGCTCTAACCCAGCCTCCCGGGGCACAGAGCCAGCCCCACTGTCACGAGGGGAGGCCAACGTCTGGACCTGGCACCTCCCAGGCAGGTTCACACAGACATACTCTGCATCCCCAGGCCAGGAGCTTGGCTCTGAACACAGCCATGCTGACTGTGGTCAGGACCTCGTTAGGAGATGCTCTCCCCCTGGACTCTCCGTTATTCACTATTTAGACCCCAGCCTGAGTCCACTGTCCCCAGAAAGCCTTCCTTAAGGCCCCCGGTGACACTCTTCCGTGCACCTCTGACCTGGAATATGGCCCTCGTTTGATGCTTGGTACCAAACAGGATCTAACACTGATCAGAGGACGTATCTCTCTTCTCTCCGATGACCCTCCAAAGAACAAGGTTCCCCGCTTGTTCTTTCTTTTATGTCCCAGATGGGGCCTAGCACTGGGTCGGGGTGAAGAAAGAGTTTGGAATGACCTTGCTGAAAATACTGCTCCCAGGACCACCCACTCAGAGGAGTTCTCGGGAACTCTGGAAAAGCCGATTGCAATCCCACGGTTCTGCTGAGAAGCCTTCCTTCCCACAGCCATGCGGGTTTGTTTCTTTGTTTTTTAATCAATGTACCAAGTCATGATCCAGACCACACTAAGGCCGTGCGGCGGCAGGATCGCCCTTAGGAGCCCGTGGGGAAAGGAGCTAGCTGTGGCTGTGTGGTGACACTGGAAGGGGGTCTTCCTGACCTGAGGCAGGAAGTTCATTGGCCGAAACACAAGTCAGAGGAAAGCAAAGCAAAGAGCACACACAAAACCTCTGTGTCCTGAGAAATTCAGGTGTCACTGAATTTTACATCTCCGCTCCTCTGCTACTTTAAAAATGCACTCTGTAGCCATCACTGGCTGCCAGGAAGACAGGGCTACTTCAGAAAGAGCTGTGCCCACCATCCCCAGCCTGCTGGCTGTGGGAACGTGCACAGTTCTCAAATACTCAGAGTCGGGTTATTGGGTAGGAGGGCGCACTGACACTTCGCTTCTCTGCCCTCTCTCTTCTCCCACATGGATGTCACCTCTTGCCCAGTTGGTGGCTCAGGAGGCACAGATGAGTGGCCCAAGGAGGCACACTATGTATCAGTGAGTCGGTGTAGGAAGCGGAGGGCAAGGGAAGTTAGGGGTAAGACCCGTGTCCCCTTAGCCCTAGCTGGGTCTGCCCAGATGCCCACAGCCTCCAGAGGATGCTAACGGAAGCTCCTTTGCTCCTCTGTTGGCTGCCTGGGATTCACAGATTACAGCCGTCCCCAAATAACCCCGGTGAGTCCCCACTGGCCACGCTCCAGCCCTAGGTACTGTTTGTTGCTGTACAATCTCAGAAGCTCTTCTATGAGACCGAGCAGGAAACAATTACTGTCGATGAATTCCCTGCAACTTTCTGTAGGCGGTTGGCGAATCTTCAGTGAGCCTCTTGTGGATGTGGCTCCAACATTCCTCTGTGGAGTGTTTCCACTGCTTCGGCCCTTTGAGACAGGAGCAAAGGCTGGGGGCAGGGGTGGGGGTGGGGGGCTCGCTCTCACAGCAGGGGTGGGAGGGGCGGGCTGTAGGCACAGGAAATCTGGGCTGAAGTTTAATGGAGATGACCTAGCCATTTCTGGGCCTTCTGCCTCCAGCACAACAGCTCTGCTGTTCAACTTGGATTTGAGAATCAAGCGCTTCAGGAAATCCAGTCCAGTTTGGGAGGCAGACAGATAGTCAGAAGTGCAAATGCATTTTTATTTCTCTGTCAGTACTTTTTTCCCCTCTCTAGAGCAACACGGGTGCAGCCGGGAGTCGGGAGAGCACATCACAGTCTCTACTCTCCCAACAGCTCTCTGCACTGGAACTAAGTCACTCCATCCCCCTAAGCTGAGGTTTCTCCATCTGTAAAATGGGGACACGAACAGCAGATCTTCCAGGTGGTGGTGAAGACACAAGCAAACGGGGTGTGGGGTCATGGAGCGCCGTGCGCACGTGCATGGGCAAGGCACGCTTACTGGCTCTGCCTCAGGTCTTGGAGCACACTGCATGGCCTTAAAACAGCAGAGATTTTTCTTCCCTTTTCACCACTTCTCACTGTGAATGGAGGGTTGGAGCTTGAACAAGGTCATGCCTTTTGCACAGGGCACTACACCCATGTGCAAGGCCGGGCAGTCCCGTGGTACTTTTGGGGACACTGAGGTCACAGTAAAATGCAACCATGCCTACAACCATTTTGTCACAGTTCATCTGCCCGCGCACCCACACTTTACTGGGGAGGGGGTGCAGGCGTGATTTCTCAGACCATTCTGCCCATCACAGATCTCTACAGGCCTTTCCTACGGCACCCCAAGAAGCGCCACAACAGGATCAGCCTGCAGAGGCATGGGGAGGAGGGGTACAGAGGAAGTTGATCTAATATCTGAAATTCATAATAAAGAGCACTTGCTTTGCAAAAAAAAAAAATTAAATTAAATTTAAAAAAGCAGTATTTTCCAGGTGGTCAGTGTCTCTTCTGGGCTCTCAAGGGAAGGAGGTTTTCTGTAGAGATGATTCTTGGTGGAAGCCCAGCAACCCCTTTGGGGAAGCTTCACTGTGGTGTGCACAGAGACACCATTCTGGGTGACAGTACAGCAGGGCACACTATCCGGATCTTCTCCTGACTTAGTGGCTAAGATACAGAGGGAATAGAAACCTCCCAGGCAGACCGTGGCACCTGAGCAAAACATGCTTCTTTGGCAAGAAAGGCAGGAGGACAAAGGTGAGCTGGGCACAGACAATGAGAAAACCAGTGGCACACATTTGGACTTTTATGCCTCATAGGCCCCTCACCTTTCTGAGCCGGCCCCTCACCCTTCTGCACACACAGCCTAAGTCCAAGGTGATTCTCCCCCTGCCCTAAAGACCCCTGGGCATGCCGTAGTTCTACTCTTTCCAGGAGGGCACCGAGGCTGCGGCTCACCCTGCCTTCGTTCCACTCAGGAGAAATCCCCCTCCCTGCAGCCCCGTACACCTGACGGGCCAAGGAAGCCCATATGTAAGGTCACAGGCAGAGGGCACAAGGACAACTACTCCCGATGAGGGGCAGTCTGCACCCACCCCCAGGGTCCTCCTCAGGGTGGGGAGCCAAGGCTTGGTAAGGCCTCTGAAGTCAACTCTAGTCACCCCTAACAGTGAGTTTGACTTGAGTACACATCGGTCCAGTCGTGTGGCAGTCTGGGCACTGTTGGGTTCCAATGCCAGACCCAATGGCATCTGAGCTCCTGCTAAGGCCCAGGGGCATGTGGGCTACCACGTGACGTTATCCACATACAGTTTTACCTCGTTGTGAAAAAAGAGTTGGTGCAACCAGGTCTGCTGGAAGCTATGGCCAAGCCTGGTTAAGTGTGAGGCACAATGGCTTAGTTTGGGATGTAGAAGTACTAGCCATCCCCGTCTGGATCTGGGCCAGGGTCTTTACCGGGCCAGACCCTCTGCCTGGGTTTACCACCTAAAGCCAACACATTGTCAGTGTCTCAGAGGAATATCCACAATGATAATGTCCCACATTTATAATCCCAGCTATTGTTTTAAGGCAGATTCCAATCTTGGCTGCAGGACTGTAGGAAAGTGATATGTCCTCTCCGGACTCAGTTTCCCAGTCTGTACCGCGGTGGCGGGGGGGGGGGGGGACAGAATTCTGCTCTTCATCTGGCAGGAGAGGAGATGAGGTGCGTGGTGGTGGGTGCAGAGCCTGGCCAGGTGAGTAGGATCCTATGGGCTTTGAATGCTGCCAGCTTGTGTGGCCCAGTGCCACCTGTGGAGACACTCTCCGGACAAGGCCCTGGCCCCACTGGAATATGTGCCCTGCTGGGTGGGCTTCCCCTCTGCCCTGGCCACCTTTCCACAGTTATTCTGGGCAGAGCCGCCAACTCCCCCTTCCTCCTCCTGGGAGGGGAAGCTGAAAGCCCTGGCCATCCACCGCTCTTGGCCGGATGGGGAGTGTTGCTGGTCAGCTGTCCTATCCCTTCCTTTACAAAGCCTCCCCTGCGGACATGCCCTCCCGGTCCCCCCCCACCCCCCGGTCCACCCCGTGCGGGGCCGGTCCCTCCGGGGCGCCCGTGCTGCCTGCTTTGCGTTTGCGCTTTGTCCCGCGCGCTCCGCCAGCCCGGCCCGCGGCCACCCCCCAGCGCGGCGGCCGGCTTACCCGTGCTGGCGGCCCCGGAGCCGGCTGTGCTGCAGCACCAGCTGGTAGGGCGACTTGGCGGGGCCCGCCAGGGTGGCGGCGGGGCCCAGGGCCAGCGCCAGGGCGAGGGGCAGCAGCTGCACGAGGAGCGCCATGGACCGAGACGCCGCGGACCTCGGGAAGTGAGAGCGCCACCGCCGCGGGCCAGGTTAAGTAGGCGGCGAGCGGGAGGGAGCGGCCACGCGGGGCGGGGAAGCCGGGCGCCCGCCGCCCCCGCCTCCGGCCCCGCCGGCCCCCCCCCCCCGCGCCCCCGCTGCGCGGCACCCACGCGCGGCTCCCACAGCTCCCGGCCCGCGCTTCCCCCCGCGGCGCCCTCCCCAGGGGCCACGGGCCCTCCGGTGGGG